ATCCCAAAGGTTACTGCGGATTAGTTGTGGTTTGAACCTTCCATGCCTGGCCACCCCTTTCTATTATGTGATAAGTGGTTTAAGAGTATAAGGAACATTTGCCTAATACTCAAAAGCAGTACGATATTTATATATATATATGAACAGATAGGACAGGTGTGGGATTACACACACGATAGACCTACAGGTGTGGGATTATATATCTATTATGAACGCAGACAGACTAGTGTGTGGGATTACAACAGATAGACTAGGTGGATTATTATATATTATATGAACAATAGGATAGGGTGTGGGATTACAACACAGAAGACTAGGGTGGGATTTATATATTATATATGAACAGATAACTAGGTGTGGATTGACACGCACAGATGAGACTTTAGGGTGTGGCGATGTATTAACTTATATTATATGAACAGATAGACTAGGTGTGGGTGATTACACACAGATAAGACTAGGGTGGATTTACGTATATATTGTTATGAGCAGTTTTTTTATTGACTAGGGTGTGGGATACACACAGATAGGCCTAGGCGTGGGAGTTTGTATATATATATATGAACAGATAGACTAGGTGTGGATACACACAGTAGACTCGCTTGGCGTTTACTATATATATATATTATGAACGATAGACTAGGTGTGGGATTACACACACGGGATAGACTTAGGTGTGGTGATTTATATATATATATATGAGCAGATAGACTAGGGATGTGGGTTTATATATTATATGAAATCAGAAGAAGTGTGGGGATTTACACGAAGATAGACTCGGTGTGGGATATATTAATATATGAACAGGATAGACTAGTTGTGGGATACACACAGATAGACTAGGTGTGGATACATATATATATATGAGCAGTAACTAGGTGTGGCGATACCCAACAGTAAGACTAGGTGTGGTTGATTATATATTAGAACAGAAGACAGGTGGGAACTAACGATAGACTCGGTTGTGGGTATTTATAAAATATATGAACAGAAGGCAGTGGGAGACACACAGATAGACTATGGGGTGGTATATTCTGATAGACTAGGTGGGTTTGGGATTATATATATATAGAACAGAGATGGGTGTGATTATACATACATAGTAAAGATTAGAC